GGGACAGGCCACCTCTGGTAGCTCAAATACCTCCTGGGAGGTGACAGGTCCATCAAGAGCAAATCCACAGCAAGGATGTCCCGAGCTGCTGCATGAGCAACCCATGGGCAGTCCATTGCGCAGACACATACCGTCCCCAGCGTCCAGCCGGTGCAGGTGGGTGGTGTCCTCAGGCTCCAGCTCAGAGGTGTATGGGGGGAAGGTGGTGGCGTCCGAGAGCCGGGCTGTGGTGGTGGCGGTGTCAAAGGGGCCAGCTCCGGAAGGCAGTTCAGGTGGCTCATTCCAGAGGGTGGGGACCGGGCCCTGTGGGTACTCTGCTGGGAGACAAGCACCCATGGTCACTGATGGGCATGGGTTGCCCCGTCGAGGCTGCTGGTGACAGCAGCAGCTCAGGACTGCTGGAGCCCAGCAGGTCCCTGGGCTCAGCTGCCTGCCAAGAGCCCCGGGGTGGATGGAGGGTGACCTGAGGGCTGAGAAAGCTGGTAGGGCAGAGCCCTCCTCCAGGAGGGCACCACCTCTCCAGCACACTGACGCCCAGCACAGCTGAAGGCAATGCCCATGCCCTGAGGTGAAACCATGCTGCCACAGGCTTTGGTGGCAACCGGGTGTACATGCAGCATGCGTGGGACAACAGGGAGCTCCCCACAACTGTGCAACCTCTGCTCATGCACAAACAAGCCTGCATGAACATCCACAGCCAGTTTGCTCATGGATGCCACAGGACTGGGCTGGGAGGGGCTGTCTCATTCCTGCAGCAGGCAGACACCACCGGGCCATATCCACAGCATCTCAGGGCCTTTCTGTCCCGCACCACCAGCCCATGCAGTGTAGGACGCCAGAGGCACTGGCACTGTGCAGGACTGCTCCCCCAGGTAGGAGCCCCAGAGTCTCGACTTCCCTCTGCCCCACCTCCACGTTGGGCCAGGGAGATGAAAGCTGGGCCAGGCTTTGTTTGATGTTACCATTCACCTCCTGTTATTTCTTCCCCTGTGGGGTCAGGGACCAAACCAGAGAGCCCTCTTTGTCTGTGTGTGGCTGAGCCAAGCGCTCCCTGTCAATGCCCGGCTTGTTCAGGTGGGCCCCAGCAGGAGACATTCCACAGCTCCCTGCTGAAACCACTGGGAATGTTGCACTGGGATGGGGAAGGAGAGCAGGGGGAGGAAAACTAACAGCATCCAGTGCCAGTGCCCACCTCAACTGACACAATGGTAATCAGGGCTGGGAACAGGGGCATCAGAGGAGCTGTCACAAGCAGCCTGGGCTCCCTGAGGCAAGGCACAGAGGTACCCCCAGGCACTGCAGCTCTGGCACAGTGTCTCTCAGAGCACCAGGGGCACTCCCAAGACTCATCCCAGGCTCTCCCTGGCCCAGCAAGAGGGGTGGCAGCAGCAGCACATGTTAGCAGTGCCAGCCCCAGCTTTAAGTGCCTGGAGCCCTCCTTGCCTCCTGTGGGCAGCCGGCACTTTGTGGGAGGAGAACGAGCTGAAGAATCGGCGCTGATGGGCTCCAGCACTTTGTTCTCCCACAGGCACCCAGCATCAAAAGGAAGAGGAGGACCAACAGCAAAACACTCACCTTCGCTGCCTGTACAAACCCACTGACAGGGCTCACATCACAGAGAAGCTGCCACAGTCCCCAGAGCTATCTGAGGCTGCCTGCAGACTCAGGAACACAACAAGGTTCTAGACTAGTTTTGGAAATTCCTGTCTACAGACATAAAAGCTATGCAGGATTTTCAGCAAGACAGCTGCCAGGCTTAACCCTGGCTCAACGGGCAATGACAGAGACAAACAAGCCCCTAGTTTGAGGCCTGTGCCAGCTAAGCCAGGAAGCAACACTAGCTGGCCAACCCACCCTGGGGAGAGGCTGGGAGCAGCAGTGAATGCCACGTCCTCACACATCTGTGGCTGCTGCATCAGAGGTGGCACCTCAGGTCACCAGTATGAGAACACAAGAGGTTTGTGCTCCACAAGGGCTCTCAAACACCCGAGCCCTTTGCAGGGCCCTTCCCAACCTGTCCTGCAAAAGCAACCAGCAGAGCTGGAGACTCACATCCCATCCAGAGGCTCCTCCAGAAAGTGCCATTTCCAGTGGACCTCTCTTCTGTAAAACTAAAAGCTACCAGAGGACAGATCAGGAGGAAACAAGAGTTTAGCAGGTAACTGTAGTTAAAACAACAGGGGAAGGAGCTGAGCCGAGCTGAGGCTATTTGGCTAGCAATGGTGGCATCAGGAAGCTGTTGGTTTAGGCACAGACCAAACATACGTAATGCTTTTGAAGCCCTGGTTCCAGGCTGCTTTCACAAGTGGAGAAACTCCACACAGAAGAGCTACACTCCAGCTACAACCTTCCTGACTGTATCAACACCGCCAGGGCCAGCACCAACCCTGCAGCCATTCCCAGCTGGCAAGAGAACACCACGGTGCGAGGACACTGCTGTTGCATTTCCCAAGAATGTTTTCCTCTCCAAAGCCAAAGGAGCTGGGTGTACCCCTCACATCTGACCGGGGGAAAGGCATTAGCTCAGATGACCTCTAACAGACAGAGGCACTGTCCAGGGAGGCTGTAGGGCTGGGACAGAGTCTTCTCAACTCCCCGTTCTCAAAGGGACAAGGAGGGAGCACTACCCTTTCCAACCCCAGCACAAAGGCTCTTTTTCTAACCAGACCCACAGGTCCTGGAAAGTCTCTCCTGTACCCAGTGCATCAAATTCCTGAAAAATTTATTGCAGCTCTCCTTAAGCAGGGCACAGAGCTTATTTTTGATAGGCAAGTAAAGAAGAAACAGTCTAATTTGTTTACAATCTCAGTGATTTTTAAGACCTGGATAGAGTCCTGGATGGCTTCTGGACGTGCATTTTGCTAATCCTCCTCATCTCATTAAAACAAGCTTTCGGTTCACCCCCACAGAAAGGGCAGAGTGTGCTAAACATGCACTTTCTGTCCTGAATTCTTGTGGTTTTACCTTAACGGCACTTCAACCAAGGGAAACACAACTCTTTTCAATTGGGTCTAGCGCCTCACAAATGCTTGTCAGCCCAGAAGCAACAGCAGCCGTGCACACGCATAAAGTGAAATACCCGCATCCGAACATCATCAGGAGCCAGGGCTTACCACTGGGTCTCCTCTTCGGTTCCTGCACCTCAGTGCTGCTAGAGCAGATGCCGATAGCCCTGCGGCTGGCACACGGGGCAGGGGAACACAAAACAAAACAGAAGCACTGTCCCCAGGGAGAGCTGCCAGCAGGCAGGTCTCTCCAGAGCAGACCTTTTCTTTCCAAGACTCACCATTGATTTTTCCCTCCTAAACTAAGAGCTCATGTCCTCACATGCCAACATTCCTGCCCACTTGAGAAGCCCAACCACCCATCCAACTACCCCCCAAACATCCAGTCACTTTCTTTAACAATCAGAGAAGTCACCTGCTCCCCTCCGCAGTGCCCTAATGGTCCCAGTGAGCATCAGCCATGCTGCTGCTGACTGAGAGCAGCAGATCTCTAATAGAGCAACATTAAGTGCCACACTCTGGTAAAAGCAAGAAAGGCAAGGGGGAAGAATAGAGCTCGTGTTAGGTGCCAAAGCCCAACACACACAATTAATAAGGTGTAGTCTCAAGTGAGGGAGTACAATCGAGGGCTGGAAACCAACTATCAAAGGCAAGATAGCACATGATTCTCCTGTTCACCCAAAAACTTCATAGAAATAAAGAACCACCAAGAAACACCATCGAAACACATCATCCATTGCAAGACCAGATGTTTACAATCTGGCTGACAGACACACCTTAGCTGTGCTGGCATCAATCTGAGGACAGTCCTGCCTCTAGGAAAACAGACCTGGTGCATCTAGTTTGTAGGCCCCAGAGCCCCTCAGCAGGGGCAGCAGGTGGGCATGCAGAGGGGCTACCGGGCTGCTGGGGCACATGGGTAACCCCAGCACTGCCGAGGCTTCACGCCTCAGTGCTGGTTTCTCTGAAGGCAGAGAAACCCGGACCCCATGCCACAAACAAGCTCTCCCCCAGCATGAACCCTGTCTCAGCACTAGAAGGCAAACTAAGGGCAACTGTGGCTGCACAGACTACCAGCAAAATCCACTTGGTAAAAACAAAGCTTGGGAGCACTGAAGAGAAAGACACAGAATAATCTTATTGGGGTTTTACAGCACAAAGATGGAACCTGGAAAAAATGGACTAAAAGTATTTGTTTCGCAACAGGCCAGGTGGAGGATGGCACCTCTTCCTTCCCATGTGGTGGCACTACAAGTTGCCTTCTTTCAGCGAAATGGTTACACTGCAATGCGTGTTCTCCCTCTCTCCAGCACAGGTTTGTTATGACTGAGGCAAGGAAAAGGGAAGAAAGTATCAGAGTTGCTACACTATAAAGAAATACACCATGAGTTTTCTGAATGGTGCAGGACTTGAGCAAGATCTAGAAGGGAGGACACCAAAGGCAACTTTACGAAACCACTGTTTCCATGCTCAGTGAGGAGGTGGGACGAGCTGCCAGCACAGTGATGTGGTAGCCCATACCCCAGACACTCTGTGTCTGAGACTGGAAAGGTCTCCACAGGAAGCTAATCAAATCTGAAGGATCCTTCAAGATGCCCCCAAATAACCAGAACCACAGGCAGACTCTGCAAGACCTCAAAGCAGGCAGATGTAGATACCTAACACCTTCATCCCTGGAGATCAGCCACCAGTGACCAATACCCTTCCTCGCACAAGCTGGTTTCTGCATCTAATCAGCTTCACAGCCTGTCAATAGGAGATGACTACAAGACTTACCTCCTCCATTAGGTGACAAGTTAATGCTTACAGTGACAGAAATCAGCACCTTGATAGGACACAGATACTCAGTGATCCTGGGAAAGAGGTAAGGGCACCTGCTGTAACCTGAGCATTGCACACAGCTTCTTCAGACACAACAGTTCACAGGTCAACTTCATGGCATCCAACTCAACCGCTCACATCCTTTTCAGAACCTGGAGGCTTTTATTCCACATGTTTTTGTGCCTTCACATTCCATCCCTTACAAGGAGGGGGAAGAGGTTAAGGTTACCTGCTGCTTTCTGGAGCACACTCTCCACCTCCAACGCAGTAACCTTAGCTGGGAGCTGACACAAGCATCAGTCATTTATAAGGAGTATTGGTGTAGCGCAAGGCTGAGTAATGGTCTACAAGGACTTGCTCCAAGTCTGGACAGATCTGTTGGAACAACCGCATTTTTAAGAAATTTGCCTGACAAAACCTATTTACTACTTCATGCATTCTAGTACTTGAACTTTAAAAACTTCCTAATAATCTTCCATTCTCCCGTTATTGGGAATGAAGACACGAGTTGCTACAGAAAGATGTCCTTGTGCAAGGTCTTCTCCTGTATGTTTTCCTTTAGCACATCTCCTGCTCTGCTGCTTCATTCACCCCCCATATGCATTCTGATGTGCCACTGCAGTGTAACATATTTCCACATTAGCTCAAAACAAGGAAATTCATGATCCCACATCAGAGTTTAGATGCCAAATATACACGATTCAGAAGCCAAGGCCTTGGAAAAGCTTTTTACTAACTTCCACTTCACTTGGAGCTCTGAATCCATTATATAAATTGAAACTGGTGTTGCTGATAGAAAAAAAAATAAACCCCAACTCTTCACAATCCTCCTGTGCTTTAGGCCTACGTGCCACTTGGGTCTGGAGAAAGCAGAAGCAGACAAGACTGGGTGTGCAGGAAGTCCCTGAACTGGCTCTGTTTCCTGTTGCACCTAGATGACGTGGACAAAGAGGGTTAAATTCTCGGTCGGTTGTTTCCCCATCTTTGACAAATGGAATATTAGAAAGAGCTCAGTAACTTGGAGGGGAAATTCACGCTTTCTCCAGTCGCAGAGCCCTGACCTCGCCATCCAGGAAACCAGACTGGCTGGGCAAGAAGCCAGATCAAGGTACACCACCCATCAGTGCCCCAAAAGTGCTCTGACTGCTACACTCAGATGGGAACCTCAGCTGCCAGCAAGATCCTTCACGTCTTGCTGAACTCCTGAGCACTTACCTCAGGCTTTTGGTGCTAGGGAGCTCCGAGTCCCCACTGTGATAAAATTAAATCCAACAAGGAAGGGAAGACTTGTTCTGGACCCTGGGTCTGTGGGGCCAGCATCAGCTGCAGGCCTCTCCAAGGCAGACTCCGTTTCTGCCCACCGTGGAGGGCTTTGCTATGGGAAGTACGAGGTGTCAGGACGGGAGGGCAGGGGCTGGGTGAACTCTTGAGGCCAGCAATGGGCTGGACAGCCCCAGGTAGCCCCTGTGGGCACAGGGCCAGGGCAGGGATGAAAAGAGGCCTTCACAGGGAGCACAAAGGGCAGCCTGTGATGTGCAAGTGCCAGGAGCTCCAGCGTGGAGCGCTGCGGTTCTGCTGAATGTTAAGTAAACTTGTTTACTGAAAGGCAGGGCTACATGTGTACGCACAGAGACCAGAGGGCTGTGTGTGCCCTTCCCTTCTTTGTCCGCACAAGGCAGGAAATTTCCTTTTCTAATGGGGTGAAAAGCAGAAAAAAATTCCACTGTGCACTAAAAGCCCCTGTACTGGGGGTAGGTAACTTTCCGCTCCTAATGCAGCAGAACATCATTCTGCACCTGGGATGGCTTACCATACAGGCTGGTTCCCTCATGTCCTGCTTTCAGGTAGCAGAGAACAACAAACTTTGTGGAGGCATCCAGCCTCTGAAATGCCACAGGGAAAGCACCAACTCTTTCCTGCATCCCAGGATCCACATGTTGCATTCGCTAGTACAAAGCTCTTCAAAAGCTACTGGCCTCACTGCATGAGTGCGACTCACTCAGTAAAGGAATCAAGTGACTGTGGAGTATTTCACAGGAGCAAAGTCACACAGGAAGGCAGTGACAGGTACAGACTATAGCAACAATGCCAAGCTGAGAGCAAGTACACAGGAAAGCTGGCAAAGCAGGGGGCAGAGCAAACAGGCACCAAATATTGGAAACTAACAATAGTGTAAAAGAAATCCTAGCTCAGAGAGGAAGCAGATCTAATTTTTACTGGAAATTAATCCCTTTCTGCAGAGTGAAATACTGAAAAGACCTTACCTGTCTGGGGAAGGGCACTGCTACTGCTTCTGGAAGCACAAGCAAGCTACAAACTCAAACTGTGCTTAAGAAGTTAATGTGCCACTACACAAAAATCAAAGCTCGGGGTTTGAGAAGGAAAACATCCACTTCTTATTGCTCATTTCTTAGTTACTTTAAAGGTTTCCCAGCAAGAAAGTGTCCTACAAGGGGAGGATCTGTGGGGGAAATACCAGCTACAGTAATTCTGTTCTTGCACCCACAGATGTTCCAGCTAGGTACAGTGGTAAATTCCCCTACCTGCATGAAAGTTCCTTTAAAAAGAAATAATTCAATCTGCCAGATGGCTGGCCATGATCTCCCTGCTAGACAAGATGCTCAGAAGAAACTGGGAGGGACCGCGATCCAGCCTCGCTCCACGTCTTGGAAGGCAGGACAGGAATTCAGGAAAACAAGTGCTGTGCTCTTGCCTGTTATCTTGGCCTGAGCCATCCCTTCAGCCTCATCTCCGCTTAAGGAAGAGGCTTTGGGGGAAGCAGCTCCCCATAGCAGTTTCCACCCGTGTGCTCAGAGCCCGCCTATTGAGTTGGTTTGGAAGCTGTTTTCTGCCCTCGTTTGTAAGGCCCCCCTCAGGCCAGCCAGCCTTTGAAGCTGACTGCCCTCGGTTCCCCTCGGCCAGCATTGCTGTGCTGAAGGCAGGAGCAGGTAAGGCTGAAATTACTGACCATCTCCTTAAAAAACAACGCCTCACACAATAGGCATCTCCCCTGTTCCTATTCCCACCACCACCTCACTGAATTTGAGTCAGAACCTTCCCAGCACTGCCGCCTGCCTCTGTACACCCAGCTCTACACACTCAGTTGAGATGCGCACCTCAGCCTTTGGCAGACCCGGACATTTTCACACACAGTTTCAGATTTCTACTCACAGCAGCTGTTGTGCTCTGCTGTAGCACAAAACATATAGAAGTAATCGGAAATTGGCACACATGCTTTAGCCAAAGAAAAAAAATTATTTCTTTTCACAACTGTTTACTTCTTCCTGCCATTAAAAGCTGACAGATAGCCCAACAGTCCCATCAGCTGCTGAGAGCCCTCCATCTACTGTTAGCTGATCTGTCTACTGATCCGCTGCCACTAATGCTCATGTAGGTGCTACTGCTTTCTGCTTAGGAAACAGTACAAAGGATTTTCTCAATTTTCCCCAACAGAAACTTGGTCTCGGGATGGAGAATCTATTCTTACCACCAGCCACCAATTCCCAAGCTAGTTTCCATTAATCCATTATAACTCAATAAAACTTTGGGGTTTTCAAAAAACCCCTCAAAGGGAAGGGAGAAGAGGCATGCAAGGAAAGAACAGAGAGGCAGGTTAGTAAAAGATCTCCCGGGGCTTTTGGGGCTTAAATGCAAACAAAGCTCCTTACCTGCCAGCACAGCAGGGACCAGGATGCCACACAGCATTAGCAGGACGAGGCGAAAGACTCTGTGGTAAGGCATGGCTTCTCTCCGGAAAAACATAGGAATTCTTAAAACTCTTCAAAGTACAAAAAACCTTGGAAATTTCACTGGTATAACATAAATTTTGTCCAGTCAGGTAAAAAAAAAATTCCTTCACAACAGCAAGTGGATAGAGAGAGTGCAAAGCCCAGTAGGGACTCCCTCTCTCTGAATTCTAGAGCACACCTCCTCCTGAAGGCAGCTCCACCCTCTAAAATTTGTGCCTAAAATCCCATAGGCAGTGAGCCGTTAGGCGTCCGTCACCCTGCCAGGCCAGCGCAGCTGTTGGCAAGCCCTTCCTAGAGGACTCCGGGCTGCTCCTGGAATCCTTCCCTCCGGCCGGCCATCCTGCAGCACAGATAACACAGGAGCCATTGGGGCAGCTAACCCCAAAAACCAAGCAGGCTGCTCAAGGGCTTTGCTCTCTCCTCAGTGCATAGGGCAGTGGTTGTCATTCTAGGGTGGGCACAGCAAAGAACAAGGGCCTCAATCTTTTGAGGCTAAAATGCTCTGAAACAGCCAGAGCAGCTGCGTGGCACCCTTGTGTTCTGGGTGCAATACTTACAGAGGTGGGCCAGAAGCTGCGTGTGGTCTCCGCTGGCAGAAGGGCCCATTAAAATCTGGTAAGTCTTCCAGAAGAGTCACCTTTGTCAGGCAAGGCCAGCATCCTCCTCGAATCTGAACTGCACAGACACCACCTCCTCCTGTAACCCTCTGCCACTCTGTCCCTTCCCTCCGAGGGGGCTCGTGAAAAGTTCACAGCAGAGAAAACTGAGATTTGTTTCAAATCACATTTGCATCCACAGAGACTTAGGAATGAACGAAGTGTATAAAAAGGGGAACACTCCAGCTTATTGTCAGAAGACAGAAGGATTTCATTAGGATTTAAGTTGATATGAGGATGAAATACTTCACTGCTTCTGTTCAGAAAACATAATAAAGTACATAAACACCCCCAATGTCAATTTTTTATGCTGTGAAAATATGACACAAGTAGTTTTGTCTAAGTTTCAGGTTTTTCTGCTAAGAGATCTCTTTGCTTTTTTGCTTTCTCTGACAGACAGCCAGGTTCAGTTCTGGTGTCCTTTTAAATCATTCTGCTTGCTGCAGTTCTTTGCAAAAGTGCCTGGCTCTGAGGGGAAGCAGGAAAAACAAAGAGGACTGAGCACAGTGCCTGCAGTGAAATGAGAAGTTCGGAAGTAACCTGGTGAAAGGTGCTCAAAAGAAACCTCAGACATCTCTAGCATCAAATTCAACATCATCTGTCAAACTTGGATCAAAGCCTCATCAGCTTTCCAGGTTCACATTCTGTCTGAAAAAGAGCTGGAATTGCACAAATACATACCCAGCGGCAGATACAAAGCTGTAGCTCCATTTTTCCCCATCCCTACTGATCCAAATGATCTCCACTACAGAAACAGGCCCTGCTTGTCAAAGAAGGCGACAGGGCAGTCACCTGAGCATATGACCTGAACATGCCAGCATCTTACCTTTGTACTAAATACTGAAGCCAGAACACTAAAATATTAAGAACAAGATCTTCCCCACTGGTCCATTAGCTACAGACTCTCAGAAGCTGAGCAAGGTCCTTGAGGTTCGACAAATTATTGCACATTTTCCCTGTCTGCATTTCTGCATTTTCATTTAGTAATCGACAGATAGTTCCTTTCCTGCTCCCCAGCTGAGCTGGAAATTAACAGGCTTTTGCTTATTTGTTATACAGTACAGAGTAGTCCAAAATTAGCTTGTAGAAATTAGATCATACCACTGAAAAAACAGAAAGTACTTCTGAACCAGACATCTTATAAACAAAAAAAAGATATTAACATAAAGTCAAATTATCAGCCTAAACATGTACTGATTTCTCCAAGACATCAGCTAAACATAATGCAAAGCTACTGTGTAAGGTAGGTCTTAGTACACCAACTTCATACTCTTTGTGGTCATGTGACTAGTAGAAGGACCTCGATCAATAACTTTTACTGGGATTTTCCACACAAAAACAAGCAACAAGTAGAAAAAAAGGCAAGTAAGATTTTGTCTAAAAAGGGAAGTCTACCAGGTGTTAGTGTGGAGTTTATGCTGAGGGGAGAAATAAATAGTCTCATTTAGGAAAGGGAATCGGAGTGGGTGGGGTGGTTACTGACTGGCAAAAAAAGGCTCCATGGCCGAATGTTTGTATTAACAGAAAACCAGCTGTGGCTTGGTCTCTCCTGCATAAACAACACGAGCATGAATGCACGTGTTTCTGTACAGAGAGAGAAGGAAAATTAAAGCTTTCTTGTCAGAATTTTCCAATCTCAACTGACTGGTGTTTATTTGAACTCTAAAATTATCAGGTAGAAAAAACCCACCGGTATTCCTCACCAGGGAAGAAATAAAGCAGCAGCTGTTGTTCCACATCCTGTGTATTTGCTTGTTGTTTCTTGATGAAAACTGATGTGAGTCGAGTTCTGGGTCAGTTTTAGCACCACGAATTATCTCAAAACTCAGCTTTGACAAAAGCAAGCAGAAAGTTTTCTCTCAGATATAATACAACCAGGTTTTATTTAAGTTCTCTCTTCCCCCCCCGCCCCACACTGGCAAAAGTTCAGAGGGAGTTTAAAGTTTTGTAAACATTTTAACTACCCCTCTTCCCCCTTTTATGAATTTACAAAGCAAAGGAGACAGGGAGACCAGATTTGCAACAGTTCCAAGTCTCTCCATGCTATTCGATCCAAAAACTATATACAAGTCTGCAGCAGTCTCTGTATAGTTACTGTACATGTTTGGGAGCAGGGGGAAGAGAGAGGAGGAGGGGGGGAAGGTGACCCCAAAAAATGAATAAACCGAACGAAATAAAATCCAAAGCCAAACTGCTCTTGAGCAACTCGATCTGTTTTCTTTAGGCAGTGATGACAGAACAACAGACACCTTTATACAACTCCACCAAAACTGTAGCGCATCTCCCTTCGCAGGTTATAGCCCTCTGGGAACAGGAGATGGGACCAGAGGGTTGAAACTAAGTGCATTTGGCAGTTTTCGTTTTCTTTCTTTTGTGGTGTGTGTATGTGGGTGGGTGGAGAAGGGAAGGTTGTGTTAATCTTTCAGTGAGAGAGGAAGGTTATGATTCCATAAATACTTCAGGATTATGGATCCCAGTGAAGGTCTGTGAAATAGTTTAAGGTGTAGAAGATAAGCAGAGCCATCATTGCACATCGCTTCGTCCTCCACAGTCTCTTTTCATGACAAAAGGGCGTCTCCACTCGTTAACCTAAGCGCTGCTTGAAATGACAGCTAGCTAAAACTGCTGGGGTACATATCAGAAAGCCAGTGTTCACCCTCACCAAAGACTAAAGATCCACATGTTAAAGATTCTACTGTCTCTTAAACGAGACAAATTTGCAGGAAAAGAGCTCAAAATAAACTGGTCCTAACCCTCCAAAGGTAGCATTAAGGGATAAATCCAACCTGAAAGAAGAGATGCCACCCCTCTTTTTTCCCCCCAGAGTACAAGTCCCCACTTGTCCAGGAAGGCTGCAGTATGCTGACAGGGAACTCCACCAGCTTCAGCATCACCACCTAATGAAGACAGACTCGAGCTTTCCCTCCAAAAATAATGTGCTGAGAAGGGCTGGCAGGGGGTGTGCAACTTCAAACCAACCCAAGCTAAACTGCGCCCGCCACCGCCCCTCTCCTGCTGTTGCCAGTTCTAAGGTTAGCTTATGAATGCAACTCCTGGCTTGGGAGAGCATCTCTTGCCCTGATGGAGCGCAGAAGTCAGTATCTGTGTGGCATTTTGGTTTTGACCCACATCTGTTAACCACAAACTCTCTCTCCATGACTGCATGTGGTGGATGTGTAAGAGTAACCAGGAGAGGGAAGCAATGATTTGCAGAATCCCAATTGTTTGTTTTCTTTTTTTTTTTTTTTTTTTTTTCCAGGTATGTCAGCAGAAGAAATCACAGCACAGTGAAAGCTCGCTGCCCAAATCAGCCTTGTTGTGAACGAATCCTATCTCCCACCCTCCCAGGACTCTGAACAATGTCCACTCGACTCTAGGCTGATGGTAGGAACAACGCCTGTGCAGTCCTGGGCAGAAACGGTTTGACAGGGCTAGAGGAAGCAGCCTGAGATGATTGATTCTGTGATTTACTGCGAGGCGAAGAAGAACACACGGTGGAGAGTACTGTGTCCAAAACAGAGAATCCATGGTTAACAGATGCAGGAAAAGCCAGCTGATTTGCACATGCTCAGTAGTCTTCCAAAGTCTCTATTTCTCCCATATTGAGCCGCTCTGATGAGGCATTCACTGAAAACCCTGTAAACCAAAAAGGTCTTGTGTTAAAAATCTGGATGTGGTATGTTGTATTTGATGCAATACATCTGCTACAAGCAGTAGCATGTGCAAGATAAAGCAAGTAATACATATCAAACAAAAACTCCAGGGGAAATTCAGTAAGAAACATAATTAACCAAACTGTCTGGTTTTTTTCCTTAAAAAAATAAAATCAAAGCTAATCTATGGTATATTTCTATAAGTATCACTTGGTCTTTAAAAACAGATCAGCAGAAGACTAGTTTCAGCTTTCATTTAAAAGAAGTAATCTGCAGACCTAGTATGAGAAACGTCTAGGCACAGGGGCAACTCGGCTCAGCAATGTCTTGGAAGGGAGCATGTTTGAGTCAACTGGTACTTGGAAGTGCCTGTAAACACTGTACTTACATGGTCCAAGAAGGAGAAAGAGACATTTTGTGAACTCAGAATCCAAGTGTGGAATCATGCTCAACATGACTCAGGGGGTGTGAGCAATTCTACCCCTTTCTTTCAAGTCTAAATACCTATGAAATCAGTGGCAATCACACATCTTTCCAATCTTCTGTATCTCAGGAGTACCACATGAAAATGTACAAAGTTATATAGGGCTATGCGGATGGCTCAAGATGCACCTAAACCTCTAGCCAACCTTTTAACCGCAAGTGCTGAGGATGTAACGCACATGAGTGGGAGAAAAACAGAA